ACACACGTGTACAGGCAGACAGGCAGGCAGGCAGGCTCACTTAAACGGTGCGACGGCGATCTTCGCGATTAGATGGGCGGGAACACGACAGCCCGCCCATCTCTCTGCGAGGGAGAGTGAACACGCATACACACACATACATACACACACAACACACAAGATATAGAGAGAGAGAGAGAGAGGCACACACGCACATGACATGCATTTCTGGATAGCAGATTGACCGACCGACACAGCACATACCACCGGTGCCCGCAGCCCCGGCAAAAAGCCAAGTCGCCTCACATCCATCGGCTTCCACAGCCATTCACATATTTATGTCGGGGAATCGCCCGACGCGGACACACACAGATAGACAGACAGACAGGTAGACAGACAGACAGACAGACAGAGAGCATGATAGACGAACAAGGACTAGCCGACACCCACACCATCCACACCACACCACACGACGGCCCGGCCCCAACACGGGGACGGGCGCTGAGATGTAGATAAAGCGACACAGGACGAGAGAGAGAGACGAGACCGACGGATCGACACACAGGCGAGACGGGCAACCAGACGGGCAGACAGGCCCGGCACTTCCACTGTAAACACCATTGACCCCCTTGCCTCCCCCCGTCCGAAGCTAGCGAGTCAGCCGTCAAGGCAAAAAATGCAGCGGCCACGCAGGCGTGGGCAAGACACCACGCCCGCTCCTTGGCTCTCCGGCACGATGAAAGTTCCCTCCGTTGGTTGGTTGGTTCGTCTCGTCGACACACAAACAACGACATTCGCGACATAGGTACGGCCACCCGGCAGACAGACAGAGAGAGAGACACGCACACACACATGACTGACGCTAAACGAACGGCGCACATCGCATCCACACACGGGGATAGAGGTGAGAGAGATGGAGAAGGAACTAAGGAAGACAAATACGCCCACACACGAACCAACATGAACACATCCACATAGATACATACACTCATTCATCTCATCAGGCCCTGTCGTCCTTTCTTTGCTTCTGTGGCACCGACCGACAGGGACAGACAGGCAGGAAGGACCTACCGCATCCATCGCAGACCTATGCGTGCGCACCGATATGGACGGACGCACCAGCCTTGAGGGAGAAACCCGCTCCACCCACACCCACACACCGACACATACCCACACCCACACACAGAGAGGTAGGAGAAGAGGCCGACAGATGCCATTAAAAAACCTCGCTCACGCGAGGCTGTCAGCTGTATGTATGCGTCTTGTCGTCATGCGGTGGAGCCCCCTCTCTCCTCTCAATCCCTCCCCCCTCAGCCCCTCGACGCTTTTTGTGATGTGTTGATGCATCCCTCCCTCATGTGACAGGCTGGATCGGGCCCAGACCAGGCAGCACACAACAGCGTCGAAAAACACCAAATTGAATGGCGTGTGGATACACAACAATCATCATCACGGCCCGTCCTCCCTCGCCCTCACCCTCTCACCGACCGACCGACCCATCAGTTGGGGGTAGAGTGAGACAAGACCACCACCTCGCCCATGGTGCCCCCCCTGCCCGCGTTGGTCTCCTTGGGATGCTCCGGGATGCCCTCAAGTGACGGCGACAATGCCTTCTGCGCGCTCTCCTTGACCACAGCGGGTCTCCCCTCCTCGCCCAGCTGCATGAAGGCATGGCTCAGCGGCTGGCCATGACTGGCCTCTTTGCTCTGAGCCGATATGCGGACGAGCGGGCCAGGCGGGCCGGCGACGGTGTCTCGCCTCGTGTTGCTGTTGGGCGGGGTGTTGCTTCTGACGAAGTGGGGAGAGTCGAGCGGTGATGACTGCTGGGGGGGCGTCTGGCTGGTGGGGGTGGTCTGCCCGACAGACTTATCGACACGGGTGGCTGGCGCGAAGATGGTGTTGAAGTCGCTGAGTGGCGTGATGGCGAGGTCGGCATTTGCGGCGACCTCTGGGGGGTCGCACTGCCGCCAGCGCACCTGAGTGGGGACGAAGGAGCCTTCGGTCGAGGGCATGACGAGCTTGGTTGCCGAGGTGCCGTAGGCCGTCTCGCCAAGCTCGATCTGGTCCAGCTCTGCCGCGCTGCCGAACTCGGCCTCCAGGCGCAAACGCATTACACACCTGACACGAGACAGACAAACATGAGTGCACACCACACCAACACACACATCTGCCCGCCCCTACTCTGTGTCTGTCTGTCGTGGGTGTATGCTCGCTCACATGTCGATAACGAAGAGGATGCCATACGTGACGATCAACGCCCACGCGCCACCCAAGACCACCCCCAGCGTCTGCAGCCCCAGCAGCCGCCAGCTCGCCCACTGCGTAGCACTGTCAGCTAGCAATATTCCGTCAGGGATGCCCTGACGCACCCTTCTGCTGGCAAAGAAGGCCAGGAGGATGCTGCCCGCCGCCCCAGCCACGCCGTGGATGCCGAAGACGTGCAGCTGGTCGTGCAGCTTGTTCGCGGTCCACCGTGAGGACGCCCACGAGCAGGCGACCCCCAGCACACACATGGGGAAAGGCGTCCACAGGGCGACGTAGCCCGCTGCGGGGGTGATGACGACGAGGCCTGATATGTACCCCTCCAGGAAGGCGGATAGCCTGTGTGAACACCACACGTGGATGCCATCCAAAACGCATTGTTGTTGACTTGCGCGATTCCGAAAGATAGATTGATTGACCTGGGGTGTTTGCTGAAGATCCAGTCTAGTGTAACCCAGGTCATGGAACCGAGGCCGCCGGCCGTGGCCGTGTTCAGCAGCGCGACAACCATGGACTGGAGACACACGCACACACACACGCACACACACACACACGAGCTGGTGGTGTGTCCGTGCTGGTGGATGCGATGCGGCCATTGGGTGCATTTTTACCGCATTAGCCTCGAGGGACGAGCCCGCGGTGAAGCCGAACCAGCCCACCAGAAGCAGGGTGGTGCCCAAGGTCATGAGGGGGATGGAGTGGTGCTGGTCATCGCTCCTTTGCGGTCCGAAGAAGAGGCAGATGGCGAGGGCTGACGCGCCGGCCACAACATGCACAGCGACGCCACCCGCGAAATCAAGACATCCCCACTGCAGGAGGCGCAGCAAACACAACACGACACAGGGCGGTCAGGTGCAAACAAAGAGAGAGTTGTTAAGGAAGGGCCGCCCACCGGAAGGTTTGTTCCCCCCCCAAGCTACAAGCGGCCTACCTTGTGTAGGAATCCTGTCGGGTTGAAGACCCAGTGTGCCACCGGCACATACACAAACGTCACCCACAGAACGATAAACAGCTGCAGGCAGTGCACTCAACACAACGAGAGAGAGGAGCAGAAGGAAGGCACACACAGACATATGCTATGCAGCCAGCCATGCATCCCATGCTCTGCTCTGTCCTGCCCGCCCGCCCTCCCTCACCCACCACGAAAGCCCTAAATCTCATCCTGTTGGCTGTGGTGCCGGTGATGAGGGCCGCCGTGATACTGGCAAAGGTGAGCTGATAGATGTAAATCATGCCCTCTGGCACCCGGTTGCTCATAGTGGAGGTCGCGTTCTCGTCCATGCCCATCAGGAAGGCCCTCTCGAACGTGCCTATCACACCCAAACCTCCCGCACTGGGCGAGAAAGCCAGGGAGTAGCCGTAGATGTACCTAACCACACACACACACACACACAGAGAGAGAGAGAGAGAGAGGAGAGGAGATGGCCACACACACAGACAAGGGCAATGGATCTTTCTCCTCTGCTGTGTGCGTACCAGATGATCTGGCACAGCGCCAAGCACGAGAACGACTGGAAGATCATCGTCAGGGCGCAGTGGTGGTGCACCAGCCCTGCGTAGAAGAGGGCCGCCCCTGGCGTCATCATCACCACCAACACGCTGGATATCGCCACCCACACCACATCGGCCGAGTCGAACGCCCTGAACGCCATCCTGTCTGCCAGTGGTGGTGGGGGTGGTTGCATCGACGACAGCCCCTGAGGGCCTGCCAGTGCGTGCCTTCACGAGAAATGGACGAATGCAGGAGGTCAAATGGGCAGATCTGCCGGTCTCACGCAGCCCTGTCGGAGATCCCCGATGGCTGGATTCTCCTGGGGCCAAAAAAGGCGAGTTCTTCTCCTCTTGATTTGAGCTCGCAGCACCAGCGGTTTCATGGAGCACCCTAGGCGGCCTGGCAGTTCGCAGAGCGGGTTCTCCACGGGGTTACAGACACGAGTCTCGTTAAACACAATAACCAACCAACCAACCACAGACCCTCATGCTGAGATGGAGTCGCTTTCGGATGACGTCCGCCGAATCGTCGCACAGCTGACTCCAGTAGAAACCCTCCCAGCATTGCGCAGTCCCTCCCGATCCCTCGCCATCCTCGTCGACGCCCGCTTCCTCTCTTCCCGACTCGACAAGGCCCTCCGCAGAACCGGCGCATCTCTGTTCTTCGCCTACGACGAGCTGCGCGGCGACTCCGGTGCGCTTCTCGGATTGATCCGGGTGTTTGAGCAGCGATATGGCGACTGGCGGCGGTGGGAGGCGATGGTGTGCACGGCGGCACACCTCAAGACCATCACCGGTGTCCCCATCCAGCTGACGAGGCAGGACATCGTCTCGGCGAGACTCGGCCAGCTCAAGCACCATCCCGAGGCCGTCGCGCAGTACATGCTCATCAGCGCGCACCTGACCCCCCGGGGGTCGCTCCGCCTGCAGCAATCGACCGAGGGCGAGATGACCTACGCCATGGGTGGAGGCGGCAGCCGCACCACCGTGACCATGACGCTGCACCTCAGCGGCGCCGGTGATGCGGCCAACCCGCCCACGACGGTCGGCGACCGGGACAGCTATCGGTGCTTCACCGACGCCGTCCTGGGCGAGACACTCCTGGCACCCCACGACGGCAACGAGCGGTCTGTCGGGAAGGCCAACGTGCCCCTGCCCCTCCCTGCCCACGTGCTCGACTCCTGTCGCCACGTGAGCATCAGCCAGGCGGGATTCAGCAAGAGGGTGCTGGGGCTGTCTGGCTGGCGGATGGGCGACGCCCAGCTGACGTATGCCATCGTCTTCACCAGCGGGTTGGTGATGGTGTTCACGACGGAGGGCGGGATGATGGCGGCGGCCAAGGGGCGGGTTAGGGAGGTGTTCGGGCCGTCGATGGCGAGGGCGCTCATTGGAGGAGGTGAGGGCGACAGCTGACCGGACCGACCGGACCGGCACTCCAACGGAGAGGTAGGCAAGACAGAGAGGAGGAGAGGAGCGCACCCATGCCTTCACCTGCACACACACACACACACACACACCGCTCGTGTGTCTGTTGTCGTTGTGTTTGTTTTGTTGTTGCAGGCTGCCCTGCCCCCACAGTGTAGGCGGAGGGAGATGTAGATTGATTGATCGGTGTAGATGTTTAATAAGTGTCGTGCAATGCGGTGTGGGTGTGTCTGTCTGTCTGTCTGTCTGTCCGTCGTGTCTGCCTGCCTGGTGGGTGCGTGTGTGCGTGTGTTGTGTCGTGTCTGGGGGAGGGGAGGGGAGGAAGCGAGAGCCTGCCATAGCTACTGCTACGTAGGCACCTCTCGCAACTAACTAACTGCACTCTTTTTCCGTCCGTCCGTCCATTCTCACTCACACACGCAGTCATAACACGGGAGCAATGGGAGGGAGGGTGTTTAAGGCAGGCAGCCAGGCAGAGAGGAACGGATGAAAGAATCGGGAGAACGGGCAGCCATCCATGGGTTTTATTGATTGATCTCAGGAGAAGCTAGCTTAGCTGTAGATACGTCCGTCCACACACGGTAGGGTAGTGAGGGTTTTGCGTTGCGTTGCGTTGCGTTGCGTTGCGTGGCACGAGAAGAAGATGAAGATGAGGCTTACTGACTGGCCGGGTAATTCAGACAGACAGCACAAGATGTCCTGTCGTGTCGTGTCGAGTCGTTTCGTACCGAGTCGGTGGGCGATCGTGTAGAGCTTTATCAGTGTGGTACGTGTGGATGGATGGATGTGTGTGGCGGGGTGCTGGTCGTGGCGTGGCGTGGCGTTGTGCGATCGAAATGGCCGGCCGGGACAGGCAGGCAGCTGACCACACACACAGGGCGTCTGCACCCTGTGTGCGTACTCGAGCTGTGTGTTGTCCTGTCCATCTCACTCGCGACTGCCTGCCCTTCTGACGCGTGTGCCTGCTGTACCTGCAGCCAGCTGACTCGTGTTGCGTTGCGTGTGGGGGGTTGGTTTGTGTCTGCCTTTTCTGTGGCCGCCGATGGATCCCCTGTCTCGAAATGTACCTGATTGATTGGTGCTGGTGTTGCTGTTGCTGTGTCGTTGCGATTGGAGGGCGCGTGGCGAAGAAGGCAGTCGATGACCTACCTGCACAGGATCTGAATCTCCTGCGCGCGTTGTCATCTTGAGTTTCTCCGCCATGTTTACTCCCATCGCACGACGGGCTGACAGAGTGAATGCTCTGTCATGTGCTGACAAGTGCGTGGTGTTGGAGAGGGCGATGTTGGTACCACTCGATCACCGGTAAAAATCTGACCGTGCTTCATTCATTCAAAGGCCCATGCACACACACACACACACAAGGACAAGGACGAGAAAAATCCCACACCACTGGCACACGTCACGCAATCAATCAACAGTCATTCGAGAGTCCATTGACCGACCGACAGAAAAACCCCTGAAGCTTCCTTTGCAGACCACCCCCCCTCTATGGAACGCCGCTCCCAATGCTGGTGGTGGCTCATGCAGTCTTCTGTTGCTCTGACGGGACCTTCTCGGCAGCCACTGGCTGCTGCGAAGGTGGTGAGCTGGGGGCTGGGGCGGATGACGGTGGCTTGGCTGCGTCGGTGGCTGTGGTGGAAGCTGCCTGCTGCTGCGGTTGTCCCTCGTTCTTCATCTCGGCCAGCTGCTGCCGCCACGCCTCCTTCTGCTGCACCTTCTCCTTGCGCATCTGACACACACGAGTTTTAACAGATGGGCGGGTTGGTCCCTCTCTCCCTCTCTTGGTTACCTCCTCGACGTTCTCGCCATCGGAGATGCCCTGCTGGAACTCTTTGGGCACCTCCTTGAGCTCCCCAGCTATCTTGCCAAGGTCCCGGGCGAACTTGCCCACCTTCTCAGGGCCAAGCAACAGACCTGTATGCCAAGACGTCACACACAACACAAACACATCACAACTGAGCCAGTGCGTCGGATCAGCTGACCACAGCCATCGCCATCCATCTCTCTAGTTAGTGCAAGATATCACCTTACCCACCTGCCGCCACGACGATGACCACAATCTCCGTTGGACCCAGCCCAAAGAACCCTGCATGACGCACCGTCAGCGGCGAGCCGTCGGTGCGCCTTGTGAGCTCATCAGAAAGCGGCGCGTCTATAGCTGGCGGCAACAGGGGGGAGGGGTGTGGGCGGATGTGTGGGGTGCGGGAGGCACCGCTCCTCCGCAGGGACTGCACCGAGGCGGGAGGGACGAAACACCGGACCGGTGCGGCGATGAGTAAGAGGCAGATCCATGTGACACAGATCCACACCATGTTGCTGCACGACGCCATCTCTGCTGCGCTCCTTGCCGGCAGCGATCCACCTTCCCTAAGCTCGCAAAGCTCGCGGCTTGAGAAATGGGGAGGTGAAGAAGGTCATCAGGACAGCTGGAGCATCAGCAGTGAGACAGACATCCGTTTCGAAGCGAGCAGATTCGTCAACGAGCACTCAGCGTTCCCTCTTGGTTCCTTTGGAGACTTCCGGACAGAACAAGCCAAGCTCATGTGAAGAGGGCCGTAGCAGCTGCTGTGCTGTGCTGTGCTTCCCCTCCCGCCCCTTTTCGCCACATCCGCCGCCATTTTCATACATCCCCACACCGACCAGGACACACCAGAACCACCACGTGCCACCAGCTCTTCTTCTCTGTCTGAGGAGGCAGTGACTCAAGTCAACTGACTGAGGATGACACTGGCGAGCGGCAAGAAGGGCAAGCGCGTCAAGGGCAAGGACAAGGACAAGAAGGACTCGACGACGGCTGCGGCCCTCATCCGATCTCGCCCCTACAGCAATGCGGAGCTGACGAGCAACCAGCTGGAGCGGCTCAAGACGGGCTTCCGCTTCGTCAAGGAGTTCCACCCTCTCACGTGGAAGAAACTGCTGGCACAGTTCGCCAACGAGAAGGTCCTCGAGCAGCACGTCCGACGGCTGGAAGTCATGTGTAAGCCAGTTGACCCCATCACTCACACAGAGACCCACCCACCCTGCCACTGTGTGTGTGGGCTGTGTGTGGGCTGTGCTGTGTTGTGTTTGTCTGTATCAGGCTACTCTTATTTCCGGCTTCTCCAGGACAGCCCCGAGCTGCGCAGCGACACGGGGATGCAGGCCAAGCTCGTGCAGTTCCTGTGGGAGACCTGCGAGGGCAAGCGCGGGGACGACAAGGAGCACCAGGACATCCTCACGCCCGACCAACACACCCAGTGGGAGCACGTCTTCATCTCCCTCACCTACCGCGACTTCAACTACCTCAAGCAGAGTGTGTGCTTCCTCGGACACACCTGGACGTTCCCCCGGACCCCCAGGGAGCTCTTTCTGTTCCAGTGGTGGCTGACGCTCACTGAGGAGCGGCAGCAGGAGATGGCCGTGGCGGTCATCGAGAACAAACTCAAGGACGACCTTAACAAGGTGGGTGTGGGAGTGGGCGTGGGTGTGTGTGTGTGGGAGTGGGGGGATGGATGTGCTGTGCTGCATGTGTTGTGTGCAGGCCAAGTGTTGCGCGGCGGGTCTGCACGGGATGATGTTCAACGAGAAGCGGTGGGACAAGCTCAAGAAGTCCACTCGCCTCTATTTCCAGCGGGCCGCCTTGCTCGTTCAACTCAACCCCCAGTCCCTCTTCAAATTCACCCTTTACCCCGAGGACATCAGCCCATCGGTCGGTCAGCCAATGGGGGGGCTGGAGGGGAAGGCGCAATAGGGCCGTGAATACGCCTGTGTGCGTGTGTGTGTGTGTGTTTCGAGTGCAGGAGCCAGGTGTGTTCGATCCCCGCAAGTTGGACAAGTACTACGAGTGCGGCGATGGCATCGATGTCGAGCTCAGCAAGAATGGTGCGCACACATGGACGACACAAAGGCACCCACACACGCTTCTGTTGTCATGTCCTTATGTTGTCTCTCTCACATCCATCGTCCATCAGCCGAGCCGCACGTGGCCAACCACATCTTCGTGCGCGTGATGCAGCTGCTGCTGCAGGAGCTCGACAGCTACGTCACCGACCCCCACATCCACGAGCAGTGCTTCAACCCCAAGTGCCCGCACCACCGAGCCAACAGGCCCTTCCCACGCATACCCCTCCCAGAGACCACAACGGCGCCGACGTCTCCCTCCCCCTCGCTGCAGGAGGCCATCAAGGCCTACGCCGACGGTCAGCCGCATCTCGAGGAGGCCGCCAGGCGGGAGCTGGCCTCCAAGCTCGTCGAGGCGTGTGTCACCGGCTCCCTGCTCGACTGGCCCGACCTCGCCCGCATGACCCCCTCCTCCCTCTCCTCCACCCCCAGCGGCATCGCAGAGGAGCTCCTCACACACCTGAGGAAGATGGAGCCGCCGAGACCATCACAGGACGGCGAGGATGAGGCCGACAGTGGGCCAACATCGTCATCATCACGCTGTGCACCACAGCCGAGTGAGTCGCCCAAGATCCGCCAGGACCGGCAGGACACGAGCACCACGGCCGTGAGCATGGCGTCGGGGGATTGCGAGGGCATGAGCTCGAGCATGAGCATGAGCATGGAGCCGCCAGTGGCGGGTGCGAGGGAGGGGGAGGAGGGCGGCGAGGAGCAGCGGTATATGCGATGCGTTGGCTGCCGGTAAGTGACAAAAGAAGAAGCATCAGCGAAAAGGACAAAGGAAAACGATACGCGACATTGTTTGTGATTGGACTGGCTCATTGTGTGTGCAGTTACGCGACGTACTGCAGCCGTGAGTGCCAGCGAGAGCACTGGGCCTCGCACAAGAAGGAGTGCGTCCACCCCGAGTACCGCCACCCGCCCGCATCCACCATTGACTACCTCCAAGACTCGTCATGCAACGAAACCATCCGCAGGTAC